GAAGAGCATCATTCCACAGGATGGAGTGCCTCTCTTGCAGGTGTCGGGAAAGTTCACGCGCCCCAGGAAAGACACGACCACAGCACAGGCACTGCACAATCAGAAAGGTTCGAGCACCTGCTTCTCGAAGATAGGGTCCAAGGCGTCCACTCAGCAGGGCGGCCTTGAGTTCAGGGCTGATTGGAACCTCTGGGACTGGTTTGCGTGGATCAAAATGCTTGCAATGCCCCTTTGTGATGTGGTAGCGGAGTGCATCCATTGATGTGACCAGAAGACCACAGTGAGAGCATGCCGGTTCTCCTTCTACAGAGTCTCGCTTGGGGTCATACCGGTGCATCTGCTGCTGATGCGCTTGCAGGTGTGCCGTCAGCTGAGCCCTGGAGGGGAAAGTCTGCGAGCATAGGTGGCAAGGCCAAGTATGTGAAGGCGACTGTGCCAGCTCCTCCGAGGTCTGGGCATGGATCGGTGTGGTAGCCGAGGCCTCCATTGCCGTGCTCGTCTCAGCCTGCAGGATGGCGGCTTGCAGGAGTATGGGGCAGCCATGTTGCTGCTTCCAAGAGAGTGAGCAGAAGGGACATGGTGAGGTCCTGACATGTGTCCTCTGCAGTGCAACCATGTGATCAATCCCAGGGATCAGGATCTGTGGGTGAGCCTCACGGAGATGAACAACCAACTCCCGGCTACGAGTGCACCATCGACCACACTGTATGCAGTGATGAGAAAGGTAGTCACACAGCTCACGATCCTGCTGGAGCTCGGCCCATTGATTCCCCCGAACGAAGGCAGCAACTCTGGATCGAAGGGAGGAAAGGTTCATCACCTGAGCGCGAGGCAGGCAGGCAAAATAATCCCTAATGGTGGATTTGACCGTTGGGGAGTGATTGCAATTATCAAACTTATCAAAGCTGACGAGTTCACTCCACATGCGCACAGGGATAGTTTGTGTGAAATCAGGTTGAGAATGGCGTGCATACTCGAACGGTCGACTGTGACATCTCATCTGAGTGATGTGCAATCGGAAGGCTCCCTAGGTGGCAAAAATCTGCTTACAGAAGGCACACTGTGGAAGACCTGCAACGGCATGCTGTTCATAATCAACCAGTTGCAGTGAACGCACCATAGCGTGAGCTTTGGTGTAATGTCTGTGGAGGTCAGTGACCGTGTTGAAGGAGGCCCCACACACGTGACAGTCCAGGCCTTGTGAGCAGCGCCCAACAGGCAGGTCCACAGGGGAACACACGTAGAGGGCCTCACGAAACTGGTCAATCAAACGCAGCGAGACAGTCAGCGAGAACTGGGAATGAGTGACAACAATATCCTGAGATTGCAAGACCCTTAAATGATAATCGTGTTGCTGCAGCTTGGCCTGTGCAGAGCGTCGAAGAGACTCGATGGGATGCTCAAGGCCAAAGGCGTGAAGGACAGTCAGGTGACTATCATGCGTGGCATGAGATTGATTCCCAGTGATGATACGCAGCTGTTTCATGAGGCAAGTGACATGCTTTGTAATGACACGTGGCGTGGGTCCAACAGCTAGCAACCCATATTCAGCACATGGAACAATACAAGTCTGCCAGAGCCGAAGCCTGTGTGAAAATGGCAGGCGGCGTTTGCTGTACAACCAACGACTCAAAGACGAGACCGACTTCTGAGCAGCCTGTGACCGCATGTCCTGAGTGGTAGTCTCAAAAGCAGCATAGGACACACGAACCCCAAGATAAACCATGGAAGAAACAAGCTTCAGCCGCATGATCCCATTTTTTCGAGGCAGCAGTAAGTAGGCTCCATTGGCCCCACGATGAGTAAGGAGAGCTTGCCATTTCCTTTGGTGTGTCCCACCAAGCTGAAGCATGGCGACAGTTTTCACTGGATTGACGGTCAGGCCAAGCTCTTCTAGACAGTCAATGACATGCCCAAGGTACCGCAGGCAAAGGCGGAGTGTTTGTTCATCACAAAAAGTACTACCACCCTGAAGGTCATCAGCAAATATATTAAGACATTTCAGGATCCATTGCTTAGGAACAGTTTGCGACAAGCGTTGCAGGAAGCGAACCATCAGCACCGCCCACAGCGTAGGGGCACCAGTACAACCTTGTCTAACCCCTTGACCACTCTGTTCACAAATGTTAGTCCCCAGGTGGGTGTAGTGATATCGGGTGTTCGAATGCCATTCACCAATCAGGGTGGCAAGACCATGATCAACCCCACAGTCAACAAGGCCGTAAATGAGCTGGTCTCTGGGAGCACTGTCAAAAGCTTTGTCCACATCAAGGAAAACTTGAATAGCGCCACAGATCACAGGACATTGAAGCCCATTGGCCCGGTCATGTTGGGTGAGTCTATGCAAGCCACGAAGAACTCTAGCTTCACGACAGTGCTGTGCCACCCGTGAGATCGGGTCAAAGGTAGAACGATGGGGAAGATAGGCATATTGAGGCCATTCAACAAGATGGGGCCAGGCTTGGTTTCGGATACGGAGTGCCACGAGTTGCATCACAGTTTTACCAAGGGGATCAGTGAGGGCCAAGGGACGCAACATGGAGGGATGACTAGGAGCTTTACCAGGCTTGGGGATAAAGCAAAGCCAACCATCCTTCCAAGACTGGGGAACCATCGGCGGTCGATCGATCCACCAGTGACACAACATGTCAAACAGCCAATTGCCAACCCTCTCAGCTTGAAGTCTCCAAACCGTACCTGGAGCACGGCCCGGTGCAACCGCTTTGGTTTCCGGAGTTTTGGCAAGGGCACAAATCAGTTCGTCCCGGTCAAAAGGCATGGTGGTCGTCCAGCCAAACTGGGGACAGCTGGCGGGCCCCTGCCAGGTGCGACGGATGTGTGCACGAAAGCAAGCCACTTCTTCCACAGTGCTCATGAGCTGTCCATGCATGTTACGAAGTTTAATCCTTCTATCACTCTTAGGCATGAGAGTACGGATACATGCGAACAAGGTGTACGAGTCATGATTAGCAGCAGCCTTGGCAGCTGTTTCAATCACATCGGCAATGCGTTGCATCTTGTTCGAATGGACAAGTCGAGCATGTTGCTTTTGCCTCAATCCAAACTGAGTCATGCGCCACCATACATTGAACACCGTCCTACTCATGATCGGTGCAGGCTTTCGGAACGCATGAAAGTGTTTCCACTTATTGCGAACGACCTGGAGAGAACTAATCGGTGTGTCCAGGGTGGGTTCACGGCACTGAGCATTTAGGGAGGAAGGGATGGTGAAGTGCTTACTAAAACACTGCAAAGCATTAGCATGACAGTTGTCAAGTTGTGCCACAAATAGGTCAGGATTCGGCATGGACGGGCTAGAAAAGTCAGTTGCTGTATTTGCCCAAGGTTCAGCATCATGAGTCAGGCCATCGGAGGGCCAAGGTGGCCAGGTCAAGACACTATGCACCATCTGGTCCAGCTCTGCTTCAAAAAGCCGCCACTGAGGAGTGCCGGCCAGCCTAGCCTCGCGCCCATTCTGTCGATGCTTGAGCTGCAGCAGCTTTTCCCCATGAGGAACCTTAGGAGCACGTGGTAACGCAAAATTGCATAGCAAAGGCTTGTGATGTGCTCCAAGGTCATGTGCAAATGGTGCCTCAGGTATGACTGCTCGTCGTGAATGAGCATCAACAAATTTCTGCCGAATAAATACAAAGTCAATTCTGGAAACCGCCCCAATCGGATTCACAGAGGTAGGGCCCATAGTAGCATTCCAGCAGTTCAGGGCGACCAAACCGTGTTGCAGTGCAATTTGATTGAACAAAGCACGATCCCGGCGTTGCGTGCCCAGCACCTGTCTGCCTTTGTGAGTGAACACATTGGTACCAGTGACTGGGTATCCAGCAGTTAGGCAGCAATTAAAGTCGCCAGCGAGAACCAATCCATGGCGTCGTGCCAATGCATTCAAGGCCCCATCTAAGGTCGTCCAAAAGGAGGCTCTCGCCTCCATGTCTGCTCCAGCGTGTCCCGCATGCTGATAGCAGGCAAGGATGTCCAAATACCTGGGAGCAAGATGCAACCGCAGATGCACCAAACGACCAGGAATGATGGTTCGATGGCTCAGCAAGTTTCCAGTGCAAAGCTTCTTCGAAATGATGATCAGAATGCCAGAGGTTCGGCCACTGCCAGATCCACTGTGGACAAATAGCCATCTAGCATCCTCCCATGTGGAATCAAAAGTCCATCTAGTTTCAGGGAGGATGTAGATTCCAGTCTGTTGGCATTCAGCCCAAATCAAAAATTCCTGAAGCTTGCTCCTGGACAGTCCACCGGGGTTCCAAACTAAGGCTCCAATCCTGTGTCGTGGGACATGAGCATGGTTCGAGGTCAGGTTCCCAGTCCAACGAGGGCCCATTCGGCCTATCTTCTTGGAGGTGCAAGGAGGGGTCAACTGGTTAAGATGGGCCACCGAAACATCAGCTTGATTGAGACATTGCCCCCTATACCAGCAATAACCGTGTGAAGCAATGCGTCGGAGGGCCCTTCGATAGCTGCGTTTAGCAACACTATGCTTGTTTTTCATCAAATCATGTTTGCTAGGGCCGTAGCCCACTGAGGGAAGCATGCCATGTTCTTTCATGAAGCACTCGTGGGCAAAAGATGTCCACGAATGCTCCATTCTCATCTCCTCCATGGCAAGGAGACAACCCTCACTGCCGTGCCTGCCCAGCCACCGAAACAAAACCAAGATCCAGCACAAGAGGCAGCCGGGCATAGCACTCCAGGAGTTGGGAGGCCAATCTTCAAGGCGGAGACCACCAATGGATGGCGTCAAAGTCGAAGCACGCTCAGGTGCATTTTGGGCCATCGTTCATAGGTTGGAGGCCATCGTTCTTAGGAAGGAAGCCATCGCTCTTAGGTTGGAGGCCATCGTTCTTAGGTTGGAGGCCATTTGCTCTTAGGTTGGAGGCGGTAGGGGGGCATCGCTCTTAGGTTGGAGGCCATCGCTATAATTTTTGTCTGCACTTGTTTCGATGGATTTCATTTGACCACACGTCTTGCGCCTCCAGCACTGCGCGCTCCTCTGGGCGGAGTCCACCCAGCACGGGGAGCTTCTGCCGGGCCTTGGTAGGTGTCTTGCTAGAAGTTCATAATGGAATGCTGGTGGCTAATATGGGATAGCTACGGTTTCTCCAGCACCTTGGCTGAGTGAAGAAACAGTTGTATTCCAAAAAAAACATTGCCAGGATTTGGGATTTGTGTGCAAAAAATGTCCTGCCTACTAGTAAAGGGTCGTTATGTCCGAGACGTCACGGTTTGTACCATTTTGGTTTGCGCCTCTTCCCCCTTTTCAGTGTATGGGGCACATCAAGAACAAGCCTGCCATTACGTCCTGAGACTGCGACAAGAGTGTCCCCGATCTGCGGCAATAGTCGGAAAGAATACCATTACTAAGTCACTTCCCTCCGTGTTTGTGAAAAGCTAAGACTGTGTCGTGTCCTGACAATCTCCACAATCTTAATTGATTCAAGAGCATGTCAGGCTAGAAACATGAAAGAATGGAGGTTGGCAAAGAGACGGACTGAACTCTTCAATGAATGACTGGTCCTAATTAATTCATGAACCATTTCTTGTGCTGTGCTTCAGGCATCCAGCAAAGCAAATAGAAAGATACAAAAGGCGCTTTATGGAGGTCTGCCAGCACTCTTGCTCATCTCTCTGGCTCGGCACCCGCCGCCTTTGAGGGTGAGAAGGATGGCATTCCAAAGTTTTCCATCTTCTGGGCTACAGACCTTAGAATCTATAGAACGGATGCCAAAGTTAACAGGAGCTCTTGTCGATTATGTATATATATATATACAACTTGAAGTCCAGTCTGACAGGCCCCGGGCAATGCTTTGCCGACCAACATGGTGACAGAATGGACTCGTTGCAACTGAGTGAAAGAGAACATATAGTTATATATTACGCATATTTCCCTTGAAACGCAAAGAGGCTGCAGTATATACATGCATACTTTATGATGCCAGGATGTTATACATCTAGGCTGTGATCTGTGCTGAAAATGGTTCGCACTCCTTCTTGGCGATGTGGGACTCTAAAATGTTTCGTTGAGCTCACTTTGCCATCACCTTCTTATGTCTCTCTCTGCTAGTTGTCTGCTCTCAGGAACTGGGTTCCTAGACTGTACTGCTATTGGGTTGGTATCTGGGTGGTCTCTTCTGTATTCTGCTATGTCAAGTAGTTCCTTGTACTTCTCCAGTTCTTCCTCAACCCTGTCTGCAGCATTTTGATTTCCTGTTCCTAGTAGGTTCCAATGTTGTTTTCTCAACGCTTCCATTCTAGTATGGAACCCACCACACCTGTACTGCAATCATTCTCATATATTCTGGTCGCATGGATATTTCTCTGCTTCCCACTGAGAATGATCTGTCCAGTGGTCCTCCTGATGGTTTTGTTCCTTCACTTGCTGCTTCTAACACTACTCTGTGTCTTTCATACCATCCTTCTGTAGCTTGCATAGTTTCCAAACTCCTTCTGCCTAATGTTGGACGCTGATGAATAATAGGGCCCTCTATAACGCTAGGTTTTTGAAAAATAGTTTTGACACCCCGTTTGTTTTAAGGGTCCTCTATTATGCCAAAGTTTTCGGTGGTCTAATTTTCTGACTATCTGAAAAATATTCAAGGTTTAGTATATTTCCTTCTGAGCCCTGTCACTGCACTCCCACTCTCTTCCCACTAGCTGGCTTGCTGAGTACATAATTGGTAATCACAGATTTCTTTAGTTCCTCAAAACTCACAGCTTTTTAAAAGCATCAACTCCTTAATCAACCCTCTATGTGAAGCTTGCTCCTAAGCAAATTTACAAGGTAGTAGATCAGGGCTGCCTTTGATCCTAAATAGTAAACTTGCTTGAAGGGTCCTCAATCGTGCAAAGTTTTTCCTCGGAAAAATTATAAATAGACCTTGCTACTACTGAGTCAATGGCGAAAGAGGGCCAAAGAGGTCAGCGACCTGGACATCATCTGAATTGGTTGCCATGGCTCCAAGCTTGCGCTGAGGCTTGCGCGCTGAGGGCTTCTTGAGCTGAAGATCTGAAACTGGAAAGGAAAAGGGTTGCTGGGAATATCTAATTAATTACAACGAACCTTAGAAAGGAAAATGAATACTACAATCAAGTACGAAAGGAATCCCCCCAGGAACCCGGATTTTTTTTTGGCGGTAGTTTATTATAGGGGCCCTCCCATTTGCTTAGGTGAGAAGTTCCCCGCGTTGATTTCGTTCAAGATGTCATAGCTAAGAATGGCTTGCGTAGTTGGTGTTTCTCTTTCTAAAAACCTTCCATTGAGAATCAGCCCACTGTGAATTATCCTGACATATTCTTTGGCGCTAATTTCACATTCTGTGATCCTGAACTCTAGCTCATTTGATCTCCAATCAGTGTACTGCCCATTGTCATTTGTCATTGTAGCGTCTTTCCACATGACCCCATCGCTTGTAGAGCTTCCATAGCGCAAAGATCACTGCCGCAAAAAAAGGTTTTGCTTGCAATGATCACTATGACTATGATCCAAAATTTTGAGTTGGATTCCATCGTCTCTTCCATTCTCACGTCTTCCAATCCACACTGGATAGCGTCTCCTCTGTTCAAGCGTGCTTCTGTAACCATTGGCTGCAAGCCCTCCAACACTACCATTCTCCATCTTTGCAACCTTGCTGACTATTCCTGCAAAATTCTCCTTCTCTTCAAATACCCTTCTCTCATATTCTCCAACTCTCACTTGGTTTTCGCTGTGCCAGTAACCTATGAGGTTCATCAAACATCTGCTTCTTTGTCCTCCAAGCGGCTTTGTGTTGAGGTCTGCCATGTTGCTATCTGTTGGCACTTGTACCATCTTCAAGTCCTTCCTGTTCTGAACCCATAGCAGCTTTCCATCTAAGTGTCTCACTTATCCAACTCCTCTCTTAGTCACAAGTTGGCGCGCGCTTGATAAATCTGCGAAGATATAGTGGCCCACCTTTGCCCCAAGAGCAAATTCCAGAACTGCTCTGATATATTCCATCCAGGAAACTGTTGCATGTAGTTCTGTTTCACGCAAAGATAAGCTAATGGTCTTCTGCGTCCTGCTGCTGTTGAACAATGGACAACTGCTCAATGCATGGAATCCTCCTGACGTTGACTTTCTGTGGCTTTCATGTTTCCACTCCAGTCTGAATCTGAGAATGTCCCCAAGCACCAATAGCTCAATAGCTTTCTCCTTTCTTGACATAACCTTGTCCCGCTTGTAGAAACTCAAGTACAAGACAATAGTCCATAGTCCTCTTCAAGTAATCCTAGGGACTTCTTCGAGTGACGAAATGACATAGCTGTAGGATTTGATTCACTGTAAACGCTACAACATACCTCTCTTGACATAGGTAGATCCCCGACCCAACAATGCTTCTCAAAAAGGCTAATCTTCTCTTGCTCTGGTAAGGCTTCTGACTAGTCTTCTTCCATCTGGATCGAGTTGTCTGCTGGTAGCTGTTGAAGCTTGACGGGCCCAATCTGCTCTTCGTGGGCTTTCAACATCTGCTGGATGTAGTTGCCTGGTTCGATCCATAGTCCATCATCAACTTCGAGTTTGTACTTTCTCCTTAAGAAAGTGAAGTCATCTCCAACCCTCTCAATCTTGCTAACACTGGTGTCAAATTTGCTTTGAATCTTTGGAAGAAAGATTTCATTGATGTACTTTGAGTCTCCTGTGAGAATCAAATCGTCCACATGGATCAAAATGATACTCTTCTCGTTTCTTCCTAGGCATGGACACTCAGCACTGAACTTGTAATTTGAGTTCCTCTGTGAGGTAATCTGTGAACAAGTCAAACCATGCCTTTGCCCCAACTCATCCAGGTAAATTTCTCTTCACCAAGAATTCTTCTCCTCTCAAGACCACTTTCAATGGCTTCTCTTGTGGAACGTGTAGAAATGAGTCTTTCACATCAAGACATCCTAGTACCTGTGAAAATGCCCCTTCTGAACTTCTCCCTCTCTTGCCTCATCTTCTCCACTAATCCTTTGCAAGAATATTGTTGGTAGAAGCTTCAGTACATGTCCTGAAGTCGCTGGTGAGAGAAGATCTCCTCTTCCACCTCTTGACCGGGGTACCGTCTCCAATTTGGTATGGTTTCCTCCTCCGGCCATACACAATGCACACTGTCAAGTAACTGATTCCTCTTGCGCTTCCTTCTGGTTTCTCTAACACCTGCATCTTTTGGAGTCCTTTCTCTTCCACTTCATCAGCTACTCTATCAACCCATTCTTCTGGATCTCCTTCAGGCTCATATTCTCCATCACGCCACAAACATTCAGGTCCATTGATTTCTTCCAAGCCTGAATCATCTTCTTCTTCATCGCCCCATTCTTCTTCACCAACTTCTTCTGCACTTGGGGATAACTCTTCGTCTACACAATAAAGGTCTTGTCCTCCAACTTTCACCATGTTGATCTTGACTTTCTTGCTTGAATCATCTGATGGCCTGAGTTTCTTCATTGGGCTTTCCTCTTCAAGCAAGTCAAATGCTTCTCTTGGCCTGGACGGCGCTGATGATGACCTCAATCAACATAGTATAGGAGTAATTGGGTGTGGCTGTCCTGCTGGCACTTCTTCAACTGTTTTCTCATCTGCAAAGAGAACCTCCTGCTTCTTACTTGGCGTCTCTTCCCCACTTGGCTTTCTTTCACCTCCATCTCTTTTCATTGCACCAACAGCGGTTTCCAGCGGGGCTGGAATCTCCATTGGCTCTGGGAATAGTGGTTCTTCTTTCCCTGAGTCACTTCCTCCTTCCAACGCCTTTGCCATTACTGCCTCTCCATCTCTAAATTTCACCATTACATGTTCTCGAGGAATGTCTGCCTGTGCTACTGGTAACGCTTCTGCTCTCTTAGTGGCAATGATTCAGCCTCCAAGTTGGTTTGATACTCCCATGAAAATGCAATGAAGCTTTTGTATGTGGGTAGGCATTTGGACCAATCTTGATCTGTTCTCCTGATGCGCTTGCTAAGTACTACCTGCACTCCATCTGTAAGCATATAGTAGGCGTCTTGCCTTTCAACCTCCTTTGTTGTGACTCTTGGTGTAACCATGAACTGTTTCACCAAATTCTGCCAGAAGTCCTTTGTAGCTCTTGCCATACTGTATGAGTTGTCACTGAGATGAATGGGCTTGATCACTTGCTACCTGTCAAATATGGTTCCTCCAACAGTCTTTAGCGAGGTGTCCGGGCTTTCCAGAAGTGTAACATGTTGCCACACCTTTGCCTTTCTGGTCTTTGCCATTACTTTTGCCCTTGTGGTCACCTTCTTTTCCTTTCGGGTCTCCTTTTCCTGTCTTTCCTTTGCCCTTGGCATCCTTCCCTTTGCCTTTGCGATGATCGTTTTTACCCTTCTTACCTTTTCCTTTGGTATCTTGAACTCGATCAACCTCCTTTGGCGTAGGCCCTTGATAGTCTGTACTGCTACTAGCCACCATGGAAGTGGCCCACTTCTGCTGAGATCTGTCCCATTGCAACACTTGCTCCCTCAAAGTTTAGTATTGAACATTGTCGCCAATTGGCAAGTTCAAGTATGATTTGAGTTGCCAAGCTACACATCTCAAAAGAATAACAGATCTCAACTCTTCCTGAAATGTAGTACCTGACTTGACTGTCTCATCAAAAACCTCTTCAGAGTTGAGGTTGTAGCGCACTGTTCATTGAAAATGCTGGCCATGTAGTGGCTGCCCACAAGAGTGCTAAGCCTCTTGCCTTTGAAGTTCGCTTCAAAGCTTTATTACAGCTCCTCCAGGCATCAAATCCATTGGAATCTTCCACAGCTTTCACCAATTGCAGCGCCCTCCCTCTCACCAATGAAGCCAACAATCCATAGAGCGTGATGCACCTGGTCTTCTCTGCCTCAGTTGCTAAGTCCCAATCAAACTTCTCATTTGGCGTCTCGTGGCTCTCTTCCAAATCTTTTATGTAGCCTTCATCAAATGCACTCAGTTACTTCTCAAAGACCCGTGACCACTCTCTGAATGTCTTGACGTCTTCTTCTGCTTCTTCTTCTTCTGACTTGCAGTCAAAGATACTGGGCTTTGCTGACAACGTTGACCAATCTGTTGCTGTTGTTGATGGTTTCTTGTCTTCAACTGCTCTCTTCACTGCCTTAGCTGCGTTGCCAGCAGCACTGTGGTATAGTCTGAAGGAATTCTCTGATCTCCTCCATCTCTTTGTACTAGTGTCCTTATGACACAATGTACTGGGCACAGCGTGTTGCTTACAACAATTCTTCACCAGTCTAGCTGTTTGGGTTCCAAAGGCCCCAAATCTATGGCTCGAAATCGCACCCAGGATCCCAGTCGCCAGTCACCTAGGGCTTTTCAATCAGAGCTCGAGAGGGGGTTACCTCCTTCTCAGCTCCGCTACCATACGCACTTTTTACTTGAAATGCGAAAGGGCTGCAGTATATACACGCATACTTGATGATGCCAAGTTATACATCTAGGCTATGATCTGTACTGAAAATGGTTCGCATCTATATATATATATATATGTGTGTGTGTGTGTGTGTCACCCCCTGGGCAAAGGGTTCACCGTCTCTCCCACTTCCACAGGGATCCCACGCAGGGGGGCAGCAGGGAATCCATAGTTCTGCTGCCAACGAAGAGAGGTGTGGACATTCCGTGAAGCAGATTGGGACGCCAATCTGTGTACCTGCCAAGAAACTGTTGATCACGCTGTCCAATTTTCTCTTTTTGTTTTCCATGGTGGTTCACGATACTCCCACAAACCATTTTCCCTCCGCCGCTTTCAGCTGCCGGGCGCTGTCGCGAGTCTGCAGATGCGCACAACCATTTGTTGAAACATCTTCAATTGATCGGACTCATCACCCTGCCGTTGAGCCATTCCTTTCCTCGGGGAATTGAGTGTAACTGAATACAATTGTCAGAGTGTCTTTCGCTCAGCCGTCCCACTCGGGTGCTGAGTGCGATCCCCGTCATTGGGGCGCTGTTTCACTGGGAAAGCATTAACTGACCTCACCACCGTTCACAGGAACTCCACTGGAAGTCACCTCCACATCCACCGAATTAACTGCCACAACGGCCGCCGGGCCTAAACTCAGGACTTGCCAGTTCGCAGAGATTGCATTTTCCGCATGATCTTGCATGTTCACTCAAGCAGTTTGACCTGAGTTTTCAGCCGTTTAATTCGATGTGCATGAACACCCTACCACACCACATACTAACATTCCACATAACTGCAACTCCTACCTTTCCACAACAAGCGCTGAAGCTGCTGCCACCGAGCTAGTGAAGCTCTATGTCCAAAAAGGACACAACCAAATTGCTTGTAGCCGGTTTTTGAAAGGAAAAAGCGCCGATCACGGCGATTTGTGTGTGTCACCCCCTGGGCAAAGGGTTCACCGTCTCTCCCACTTCCACAGGGATCCCACGCAGGGGGCAGCAGGGAATCCATAGTTCTGCTGCCAACGAAGAGAGGTGTGGACATTCCGTGAAGCAGATTGGGACGCCAATCTGTGTACCTGCCAAGAAACTGTTGATCACGCTGTCCAATTTTCTCTTTTTGTTTTCCATGGTGGTTCATGATACTCCCACAAACCATTTTCCCTCCGCCGCTTTCAGCTGCCGGGCGCTGTCGCGAGTCTGCAGATGCGCACAACCATTTGTTGCAACATCTTCAATTGATCGGACTCATCACCCTGCCGTTGAGCCATTCCTTTCCTCGGGGAATTGAGTGTAACTGAATACAATTGTCAGAGTGTTTTGTATACAGGCAGCCAGCTGTAATTTTATATGATGCTTGGGAGATCCTTGCATATAGCAAGCACTATGACACTATGATTGATGGCTTTATATTCTATTGTCGCCCTTGGTTTGCCACAAGTCGTGGAAACCGGTTGGGGCTTTGTCGGCCAGGTACGTGTTCAAAAATGACCGCAGGATGAAACAATGAAACAAGACCACGCCGACTGGGCCATCCTGGCCATCGGGCCATCGATATCTAAATAGTTTCTCTACTGCTGGCATGTCAAAGCTGTCTTGATGAAGAAAGTGTCCCCAAGCATTGTTGTGGGTCAGGATATCCCGTGGCCTGTAGCACACGCGCATGTTTTGTGGTTCACCAACCAACTTCACTGGTTTTACAATTTGAGAAAAGGATGAAATCTTTCTCCACCCCGCGAAAATTGCAGTCAAAGGTGCTGGAGCGAGGGTGCTTCAGGATACGCAAACCTGACAAAGTTGAGGTTCACATTTCAGCCCCAGAAGCATGAAACCAATCAGCTGAGTCGAAGTTGAAGCAACTCTAACAACTGCATCAGGTAGTAGTGCGTCCTCAATATCCCTAGCCTTTTTTTTGACTTGATGCCTCGAACCTCTTGAACCTCCACTTGCACCTAGCAGGACTTCCTGCAAACTTCATCCAATCACATGTCAGGCATGCACTTCATGCAGCTAGACCCCATACTTCATGCTCCCAGCTTAGATGTCTGCTCTAAATTGTCCAGGTTGGAGTCTGAGCGGAGATGTTGCAAGGCCACCGCATGCAGCAAGCTGCAGAGGTGTGCAATGTCTCCATAGAAGGCCTCGTGTCAAAAGAGCAGTTTCTACAGAGAGCAACTCTATTTAAAAAACAAGATGGAGCCCACGAACCCGAATGCAAACACGTTCGAAAAGCTACATATGTCCAAATGACACTCTTGCAGGACACTCTTGTGGGACACTCTTCTGGGACACTCTTGTGGGACACTCTTGTAGGAAACTCTTGCGGGTCACTCTTGTAGGAAACTCTTGTGGAACACTCTTAGAGGACACTCTTGTGGGACACGGACACTCTTGTGGGACACTCTTGTAGGACACTCTTGTGGGTCACTCTTATGGGACACTCTTGTCGGAGACTCTTGTGGGACACTCTTGTGGGACACTCAAAGTCTGCAAAACGAGCATTTCGTACGAGACTTCCTCCAAAAGTCAAGCGGAAAACCCATCGGAGCACACACCTCACGCAGCCCTGCCAAGCAGTTTCGCGATTCCAGCCTCTCCAAACAACACCCGCTCACACGCCAATACAGCGACATTCACCTCTACCACAACTCGCAACCTCACGATTCCCTGCGCCTGCCACGAAAATCGCACTTCCACACCTCAAAACCCGCACAAAGTACTGCGCCTGCGACGAAAAGTGACAACATCATCTCGTGTGAGCTTCAACAAAATTTGCACCACACCACACGTTTGGAATGGCTTCGACCCGTTCTGAGCACACTCCCATCCACCAACATCGCCATTTCAGCTGAGACTTATCACGAAAGCAGAGCTTCGATGCCACACCCTGAAACGCAAATCCCAATGGCACGGCCACATCCAACACCCCAAAAACACAACTCTCCGAACGCTAGTCGCAATGGAACTGCGCAGCAAGCTGCGGATCTCACAAAACGCAGCGCCTGCGCAGTGAAATCATCCTCCACACTTCAACATCTTACATTTCCACACGATTCCTCGCTATTTCACACGAATCTGACACGTCACGTTTTCATCCGAAACCCTCTCCAAAAGCTTCCCCCAATGGCAGCGCCTTAGCGCTCTACTGCGAACGGTTGCGAACGGTTGCGGACGGTTGCGAACTTAGAAACAACGAGTCGCGAACAAGGCTCTACCCCCAGACCCCAAGAGTTAAACGAGAACCCTTCGCTACGCATTCGGGAAAAAATAGTGTGCCATTAAGTACAGTAGTTAGATGTATAGAATTAGTATGTAAGTTCTTCCCCCTTACTATCGATGTGAAACCTGAGTGGCCAAGCTGCCACCCAGCTCTCGTTCCTTTGCCGTTCCTTTGTCCCGGACAGAGTGGTGTGGACCACCCTTTCCTCCCGTAGTGGGATGAGGCAGACCGCTCTCCCCATCCTCATGGCGCTACACGGCAACAAAAAGAAATGCCCAACATTCAAACCTACATGCTCCAACCCTCTTGTCTTCTGCTCCATCTGGTCATGTGATTTGGCGGGGTGTTCTCCTGAAACATCCACAAGTACTGACTTGTCAACTCCCTTTTGGTTTTGTAGGTCCAAATTCTTGTCTCAAAGAGATCCTTCGACGAAAGACCAAGTACAACGTCTCATGAACAAGGAATCCTCACCAGAGATCAGTCCTGCGCTCCATAGAGCAGCGGCCTGTGACGTCCGTTGCCCCAAGCGTCTTTTTAGTCACTGGATTTCTGGAAGCTCTGACATCTTAAAAAGTTGATCCTGAAACTATGTACTCTCATGGAGTCTGAAACTTGCAGAAGCTGACCCAAGATAGGAAGGACTCCCTCTTAGGATTTATATAGAATAGCCAGTCTTCCATACCTGTGGGCAAAGCGAAGCACGAACAATCACTAAATGGCGGTTCATTCATGCGAGGCCCACGAAAAAAACAAAAAAAAAGGTTGTCAGTGTCCACCTTTTCAGTGTCCGGCCTATCCCGATTTCCAGCAGCATCAAAGGTGATGCCCATCAAGGCTCCATCGAGCCACTTTGCAGCCTTGGTCCAGGCTTAGACTCTAAAGAAGTCTTCCCCTCCCAAAGCGGGCCCACGAGGACAGGTGCTTCAAACGCTTGCAAAAATAGTTACGCAATGAGCCAAGTCTGTGAGAGTTTGAAAGAAACCTGTGATTGATTCCTCCCTGTCAAACCCGTGATTCATCTTGGCTCAGGTGGCTGATCTGAGCTATCAACCATGTTCTGCATGGCGCCTGGGGCAAGATTGTACACTCACAGTCTGTCTAGTCTCGAAGTCTCGCATGACTCCGTATCACAGCTTTTGAATAGCAGTTTGATCTTGACACCGTGTTCATCAAGCTCACAGCTGGTTCTGGATTGTCCTTTTCCAACTGCATCTGTGCCCCTGAGTCTTGCATGAAAATATGGCTTGCACAAAGGGGTCGGCAGCTTTTAGAGCTTTCTCACACGTTTGCAAGTAGGCTTCTCCCAGAGACTGGGATCATCAACACAATAACATTCCGATCACAAATGTTCAGGTGCTGCCCAGTGCGCCTATTGCCTCCCAGTAACGCTGATAAGCGAAGTTTGTCCTGCCCATGCCACAAACCCCTGTTGTCCGTGCAACTGAAGGAAGGGAAACATCATCATTGGAATCTGATGTGTCAATTCATTGTCTTCAATAATAACACCCCACCCACACGGATGTGCGACATTGGATAAGTCAATCCAAACAAAGGGAATGGGTTTTGGTAGATGCCCTCGAGCTGCTGTATCGACCAGCACAAACCACCCAAATCATCCTCATCCATTCATTTGCTATAATGTCCGAGGATGTCCGTCCTGAAAACCATCAGGAAGCCTTGCGGAAAGCCAACGCAGGCGATCACAGCTTTAGGACATCACATCAGCAGCAACGCAACTCAGCCATTCAGCACTTTGAAGGCTTGAAAACTCGCAAGTGCATAAAGGATCCTGACTCGAGCCTAGAAGGTAGGCAAAGAGCTGAAAGGCATAGGGATGACTGATGAATTCATTCCTCGCAGTTGGAACTTGGAGATCTACATGTTTCAATGCGGACAAAAATGGTTTCTGCAGCTGGGCAATTCGGTGAAGGCAACATCACAACCCCTTCCCAAGCTTCTGTGCGAATGGCCGAATTCTCATCTATCAGCCAGGTTCGAGCGCAAAAACGAAGGTCGCAAAGAACACGCGACCCAGGTTCGAACGCCAAAGTGTGGCTTTCAAGTTATATGCAAGATTGAAATGCCCTGCCACAGCTGGCCACAAGAAGACCGGGCCTGTCTCGGATGATTTCATCTAAAACGGTCACATAATTCAGGATGAGGCTAATGGAGAGCGCGATTCTGGGCGCGCAAAGCGGTTTTGGTTGGTTCAAAAGAGCAAAAAGGGAGCACCTCCAAGCAAATTGCTCAAATAGTGTACAAAGTTGTGTGTTGGTGGGGTTGTGTAAAAAGGCTAAAACCAGGCCAAAGCAATGTTTCCTGCAAAGTTACAAATAGTCAGGTTTCTTTGAAGCAGCGTTGCATGAAGAACAACAGGCATTATTTAATGTTCTATCTGAACTGCATCCAAGGAACAAATCAGGGATCACCTTGGTGGACAAATTTGGAGTGCGGTTGAAAGACTTAGAAAGAAACCTGGCCTGGATGGTTTTTATCGAAACACCGGAACTCCAAAGGATACCAAATACACAAAAATCGAAGGAATACCTGGGCACGTGCCTCCAGGCATGGACCGGGCGAAGGAGACTGCGACCAAGGCGCCCCAAAGGGCCAGGAGGTGCCCACCAATCGAAAGAGAATGAAGATACCGCCATAGCCCTTCCTTTCGATGGTGAGGTTCTGCATCCCAAAAAAGTTTTTAAAAAAAACGAATCATCTCCAAGATCCAATGAAGACAGGTTAAGTTTTGTTTGCATCGAGGGTAAAGTTTGTCTCGATCTGCTTCAAATAGAAAGAAAAGGTGTTTGAGCCGGCGTCTCATAAAGCTAGGGTGCACTGAGAAAAAAGGGCTGAGTTTCGCAACTTTGTCAACCCAGCACACAGTTGTTTCCACGGCATCTACTCAGCTTGGCCACGCCAAAAGTCTAGACGAGTCGAATACCCCTTCACGATTTCAGTGGGTGACATGGACTAGCATCGCTGGTGCCTGTAGTAAATCATCGCATCCCAATGCGCACTCCTCGGCAAAACTAAAATAGAATAAAATAGAACCATGTGCGCAACACTGCTCAAATGGATGCACCAAACTTTGAAACCACATGTATGTGTTTGTATGAATACATATATATATATATATGTGTTGCTAGGCGTCACTGGAAGCACTATCACCAAAAGCAGTCTTCCCTTTTCCACCGCGCCCTCACTCTGCTATAGCCCTCAACCTCTTGGGCCGCCCTACCAGCCTATCCGGAGATGGCTGTGGATGCCCGAGCATTAGGGTTAATCGGAATGCTTGTCGTACTCCGACAAATGAACAAACTGGAGGCCAATTTCCTTGTGGAAGTGAGAAGGTGGGGAAATTCACAAGTCACACAGAATCGCCGCATCAGCTTCGCCCTGTCTCAAGCAAAGCACAACGACAAAATTGACCGTTCAAATTGGGAGTCTTCAACTAGCTGCAGTCAATACAAGACCCGGGACCTTGATTGCATACTGCGTGAAGCCAGGAAACACAAAGGCACCAAAGCGCGTGCGACGTCACAGTTTTTTGACTGTTTTCAGATGCTCCGGTCGCGTCCGCCAAAAGCGCGGAAATTCACTCAGGTATGACACCCTTGGGCAACACATAAGGACGCTGATTTTGTTCAATCTTCTTGCAGGTACAAAGATGCAAAAGGTAGTGACCAGCGCGCTTGCGGCAAGAGCCACATCCCTCCAGAGCAGCCTAGATCATCTGTCATGGATTCGGCTTCTATTAGTCGTGGCTGCAAGATCCCAATATAAACCGTGCAAGGTGTCCTGAATCGTGTACCGGAAGTGTTGCCTTCACTACCTCATTTAGCGCAACAGCTTTCTGGATTTCGACCTGGTGACCAAGAAGGCTGAGAGCTGGACTGCAAAGCGTTCAGGACCCAGCTGCAAGCGCGCGATGGAATACGCAGATGCACTAAGAAAGCTATTATAACGCAATCAAGTTTTCTTCGGTATACCCCAACCCACCGCCTCGTGCGGGGTTCGGGGCATTCGGTTCCACCCGGGCGGGTGGCCGAACACACCTCAAACATGGTAGCCAACTTCACGACAAGCTCCAAGCGTTGAATCAAAGAGCTAACAATAGGACTAGAACGCAAAGGCTTGAGTTTGCAGCTCGCCAGGACACTTGTGAATCCTCGATTCCAGAAGCAGCTGCAATAGCAATATGGAACTACTTTGGCTTGGAAGTCTACAGCTACAAAACTACGAGCTTTGCGCCCAACATCAAGCTCTACAAAACCTGCGCTTGGTTTTTGGCAACGCAGACAGGCGGCGTGGAATGGCGCCGATCTTCCTTGCAGGGATCACAATGGCCTATGGCCTACAAGAAGGAGATGAACCAGGCTGGAGGCCGTGCGCAGAGAGACGAGTCTGGCTAAAAACAAAGGTCAAAGGAGAAGGCATGGGAAAAGAGAAGAGGCTAGGAAGAGACAGACACAGGCTTTGTTGATTTTCACCGTGGCTGGAACAGCGCAAAATGAGACAGCAAGTTGTTGTTGGCTGTGATAGGCCCTGACACCAGTGCCTGTCGAGAGTATCCGCCTTGAGGCTGAGCTCTTTGGCCGACGTATGTCTGGACGGGAAAAACCTGCACATACCTTTTGAGCCTTTCGACCTGCCAATGCGCTCCGGCGTGGCGTGGACCTTGATTTGGCGGAGAAAAAGCTAACTATCAGGCTGCCTGTGCGCCCCCAGGATCCAGCAGTGCTGACGTGACTGATTGACTTCAGATTAGTTCCAGTCAGGCAGCCCCTTCTTGAGTCCCATTCCAACGCAAGTACCGAGTTTGTACCTAGACTTTGCAAACCTTCTCACGCGTCAAGTCACGTGGTACCGCCCGGAGTTGGATCCTGTCGGGGCTCTTGTTTTTTAGTTCTTAATGTAGTCGGACGCTTTGGTCAACCTCTGCCCCCCCCAAATATTGACTAGCGACGGGACCTCTGGAGTCTGCTGCAGCTTCATTTTTTGCAAACTTTCGGGGGTATTCAGTGAAGTACTGCAAGCTAATGGGCCTCCTCTGTTTTGAACAGACCCTGCACTGGAACGGCGCTCATGTTTTTGGCGACATGCGCGGCCGCCTCTTCGCTGATCGGATGTTGCTTGCACCGACACGCTCGTCTATATGAATTTTCCCTTTTCAAGACTTGTGAGCTGTCCCACTCTAGACATGTCAAAGACATGTCAATAAGTTCCTGAAGCATCGGCAAGCGAAACACCAGCGCACAAAACAAGACCTAATGCAAGCTCAAACAAGTGGCCCTCCGCTCTTTCTGGACGTGGTGGAGCAGCTTGCGTCGATCCACCCAAGTTCTTCGCAGAAATTCTACGCACCCCGTGGAGATGGTTTCAGAAGGATGGGTGGTGCTTTCTGACACCTCCTAGCGCTCTACCGTCTACCTATCCTGCAAGCTTCCCCCAAGGTCCCGTATAGTGTTGGTCAACTCACTGACAAAACACCTCAAGGAGCTGGAGCATGCAAGACTGCAGCAGCGCGGCTGCGATTTGCATTGACTTTGAACGGCTTCTACTTCCTTTGATATTTGATGAACAAATTTTCAGGTTATTGCTCACTCACAGAACCGCACTGGGACCATCGTCATTGAAATGGTTGATATTGTCTTCGAAGCGTTCTCGCCAGTCGGAACTCAGGGTCCTCCAGTCTGCAGTCCAACATGTCTGCACGCATCTGCTCCTGCTTGGCTTTCAGAGGTTCCACGTTCTCGGCATCTTGGATGTCCTGCTGCGTCACCGGCATGGTCCCCGTGGCTGTTGTCTTGGCTTTGGCCCCGGCAGCGCCATCAGATTCTCCAGATGTTCCACCCTCCTGGCGACGTAGTGGATGAGCTTCTGGCTTTCGATTTTGCCGGGGCCATGGTGCTCAGACACCACTTCGAATACTTGCGCGCGCATTATTGAGCTTTGCCGAATGTGATCTCCTCCTGCCCCTGCTCTTCGATGGGGATGAACTCCTCCAGTCATGGCCAGGCTCGAACGCTTGTTCTTGGATGATGGCTAACAACTCAACCTTGCTTGTATACTGCTCCATGTTCCTTTGAGGGGTCCTCATCCAAAGCGGCCCCTTTCCAGCCGCCACTCCACCTGTGTCTCTTGGTCCTCTCCACCTGTGTCTCTTGGTCCTCTTCAAAAGGGTGAGGCCACACTTTCCTTGCGCTGCCATGGCCCTGAACCCTCTTGGGCCCTCCCACTCCAACCCTACGGTCTCGTGCCCGGAGATGGCTGTGGAAGTGAGAGGACTCATGCTGCTGCAAAACCTGATTAAGACACCTGCACATTCACAATAAATATATATATATATATTACATACATACATATGTATATACTTGAAAACTATTGCACACCCTCATATCTGCTCTCGAAGGATTGAGGAAGGTTTTGCAGCCTTGTTATGAGACCGTGCACCCGTCAAGGGTCTGTTGTGAATCGAACAGGAGGACCAGCAGCGGTGACTGTTAGAGATTTGTTACATACTGCATGATGCTTCGTGGTCTTACGGTCCCGCTGGTCTGTAAAGCGTCCACTGCTGCCCTTGCATGGCATGACTGTTCCGTCGCGAGCATGTTTTCACTATGCCATCGAATGGACCTTGTTCCTATGAGTTCCCGATTGCATTGTCTTGCCTATCTTTGCACTAAACTACACTTGTCAAAGCATGCTAGATTGGTTTCTTCCTGGAGATCAGGATCCTGCCGAAGAAAAGGCCACAGTGGCTACAGCTCGAAGGTGGGGATGAAAACCGGTAAGGAGTTCAGACAAATACTCCAGTTTCAAGCCACAAGGTCAAGCAAGGAGCCAGCATTTTGGAAACTGCACAAAAAGCCGCAATTGGAGTACACGCTGAGAAAGACAAGTGAGAGGGCAGCAAGAAAGCACGTGTGCACTTAGGTCCGCAACTGCGGGCCTTCATGACAGTCGCAAAGGTAAACATATTCCAGCTCTTAGGCTCTTAGGTTGAAGGCCATCGCTATTTGGTTGGAGGCCATCGCTACTAGTAGCTTCGCTTATTCCACCTCATGCTTGTTGCCTTCAGCTTTTGCAAGCCAGCCATGGTTCCAAGTGTGGCATTACTCTTTCTGCCTGAAGAGCCTAAATACAGGTCCTGTGAGGAAGGATTCAAGAGTTACACTTGTACAACAGCAGCTGTTGCTTGAGCTTTGTGCGGCAATTATACTACAACTATATATACCGTCCACGATTAGACATCAGATTGCACTTTCAAGAGAAACATAGTGGACTTGATTTTGCTTCAGTGAACCTCAAGCAAGATTTCCTGGATTCAGCAAGAAGCCTGCACTTCACCCTATGCAGCCCGGGCTGATGCGAGGCAGAAGCCAAAACGGCAGTGGAGCATCAAACGACAAGAAATCACACACAAAATTGCAAACGCAGTCTTCCAGATGAAGTCTCACCTTCTCAAAAAAATGCTAGCAAACAAACAAACAAACAAATAATAAATAAAAACCACCTGCACAGTTCATCCATATTCATCCTCATGTTCATCCAGTTCATCCCAATTAGCTTTTCTTAACTTGCGGCAGGAAACCAGCTGGGGCAACACCGCTGATGGAATCAGGTTCTAATAATTACCCGCAGCTGATACTGTCAACAACATCAGTACGTCATTTTACATGATGCTGTCGCTCAATCTATATACATTCTGTCTGGTTTCGGTTCTTTCTTCAGAGGCAGATGGGCTTGAGATTCACTCCCTTGCAAAGCTATCTGAGCCACCGATTCCACAGGTACAAGAGAGGGACCAAGCCCCTCCCGAGCATCAAATCTGGTTGAATGTGATTGACATTTACATAAATTGTCGTGGAAAAAGTGAGGTAATTAAGTAAGCTCCTCTTCGAGGAGTCTTGAAAGGTTTGCAGTGTGTAAGCGAAACTTATGGAAGCAGTGATTGAATTCAGAGTATTGGGAACATCAGTCCAATAGTGCAACGACAAACCTCTCTTGCATTCTCCACTTCTGTGGATCAACTGACTTGTGGACTTGTGACAATTAACGGAGAGCCACGTCCGTGAAAGGCCAATGGAAGTTTGATCGAATAAGCCTTGGCCTCTCCCTTTAAAAGGATGAGAATAGGCAAGTCAGCCTCTTCCACAGTGTCGGAAGCCTAGAACTTTGCTCCACTATACATTATATAATATAGAGAGAGAGAGAGATCTGAAGGCTCCAATTTGGCAGCAAAAGTGTCGCAACAATAAATTTGACGGTAAAGCTCGCGTCACACTTCCATATTGACCATCCAACAAACAAAATAATTTGTGCCTGAGAGCTGCTTTGCAGACCGCAAGCAAGAAACACCGCAGACACGCCGCTGCTTAATTCATCTGCATTTCCGTGGCAATAGTGTTGAGAGTAATTACTAGTTTGCCTATGCGACCAAATGTGATCTTATGAAATGTTGGAGTTTATACTGTTGCACGCTCTAGTGACTCTAGTGTCTTCAAATTGCATTTCCAAAACTTGCCCAAGAGAAAAAATAAAACGAGTTGGCACCTCCTCAGCTGTTGGGCTCGACAGGACTGGCAATCGAGACTTGGCTCGGTCGTTCAAAGTGAAAGGGCCCGAATGTTTCCGAACGTTTTCACGCCACGCATTTTGTCGGCTTGATGATGCAGAGGAGTACCTTGCTCTAAAGGAAGTCCGCAATTTTTTCTAAACAATCTTGTTGCGGAACGGGCTTGTGAGCAAAGCCACACAGGCCATCTGTTCAGAAGGAAGAACTGCCCCTCGAAAGCTTGGGGAGATTTGCACTTTCTCAGAAATGATACGATGGATTCTGCAGTCGTCAATTCCCATAAAGTGTTGACTGAAATTAGACTGATCCATGATGGGGTGTGCTGAGAAATGGTGTGTTGGCACAAACTCATGACAGTGACCGTGCCTTATAGTTTCCAAAGAAGAGACTTGAGAAGCATGCCTCAACGGAATGCAGTCAAAAGGTAGGCATGGACATGGAGCAAGTAGATTCAGCCGCGCCTGTGATTATAGCAAACCAGCAAGGCAAGCTGAAACAAGCCACAAAAACAATTGCGACGCGGGTGGACTACGCATTGCCATTTCCAATCGGTTCGCCACGGGGAAGGTAAAAGGCATAGAAATGCATGCCTGTCCTGTACCAATGGCAGCAATGAAACACTCTTGCAACTAGCCTGCAAAGGCTACACTTGGCCACCCTGCGCAGTACTGGGATCCTAAAACATGGGGGCTGGACAATTTGCAGCCAATGTGCTGGCAGCAACATTCACACTTTCACCAACAGGAGGAATGAGTATTCAGCAAGAAGTGACAAGACTTTGCTAGCAAGCCTGCACAAACATAAGGTGTGAACTACGCTTTACTGTATTCTTCGTGGAATATGTTTCTCATTGGGATTTCCCTTAGAATTCTGGTACTATTTGAGATGTTCGGATTTCTGAAATCCACTAGCAGGACTCCCTACACGCGGCCCTAAACTCCTCCAAAGTGGAGAAGCGCAACCCGTCGGTCATGGAGCCGCGCCTGAGGTTCAACATGGATTCAGAACACATGCCAAGGCCAATCTCTTGGGAACGGAGGCTGGGGCTGCGATGATAAGTATCACTAGGCAACTGTCGCGATTCCTTGCGGACTGAAACTTGAGGCGATGGAGGTGGATGAAAGGTAGAGCTTGGAAGATTCTGAAGAGGAGCAACCAGCAAGCAGCAAGCAGCAGCAAAGCAACAACAGCAACAGCAGCAAAGCAGCAAGGCGGCAGCGGCAGCAAAGCAGCAAAACAGTAAAGCAGCACTACCAACGTGCAAGGACGCTACTAGGGGCTCCTGGCCTCGCTACTAGGAGCAAGGACGCTACTAGGGGCTCCTGGCCGTAAAGAAGGTGCGGGTTTCACAGTACTTGAGCATCCGGGCCCGCCAGCCGACTCCTGACAAGCAAACAAGAATAGCAAGCAGAGCACTTGAGAAAGCTTACAGTACCAAACAAAGCGAGGCATCAAAACTGAAGAAACAAAGTGTGCTCGGCATCTTTCCATGGGGGGTTGGCTGATATATAAATTATATATATATATATAATGTATTACTATGTTTATTGCCAGACTCATGCGTCTGTCAGGTCACCTCGTTGTCCAAGTCCCAGTGCTTCTGCTTGCCGTGGCGCGCAACTTCCAGTGCCTGCGGAGAACATCCAGGCACAGATGGAATTTACCACGCACTCTGTCATGCAGCACTTGCTTTCCGCTGCACACTACAAGCAAGTTGCAAGGTCTGCGTACCCCAAAAGGCACGTTAAGCTGGGACTGGCCGACATCAGCTGAGGAAACCACTTGAGCCTGTCCCCATCAAAACTCTGCTCAGTGTTTTCACTTACATCTTTGCAATCAGAGTTTGTCAGACAGCAATCTTTCGACTGGGGGTCATTTGTAAAATCCTGTCAAACTTGAAAACAAGTTTGCTCAACATGACTTATAAAACCTAGCGTCCTGTTTACCATGGCACCGCATCGAAGCCTTGTGGATCAACGGGTGTTTTTCTGCCAACTCCTTCAGGGAGAGCTCGTCGATCGTGGCATGAACTCCCTCTGAAATGGCAAGAACAATGCGCTCACATGACGGTGAGTATAGCAAAACAGCCTTTGAACACGAAAAGGAACCGAACCACATATAGCCTAGATCCACAGCAGAGGTCCAGCAAAAGACTCAATCCTATCAGCAGGTCCCCAGCGATGCCGTGCCTCATAATCTGGCTGTAGGTATTTATTGCCTAGCAGTCGGTATGAAAAGGAAGGATCGATGCTTGTCATCTTCTGCCAAAATGTGCAAAAGCGCACCCTGGGTATGGTGGTTATTGCAGCTCGAGCCTGCTAGATGGCACTTCAATCGTGGGACACCTTCCGTTGCAAGGTGTATCTATTGGCACTGCAGGCCTGGAGAAGCTCCTAAACTGCATGATAAACTTGGCATCGCCCGCTTGAGGACAAACCTGCAGTCAGCACCCACAGGGCAACACGGTAAACATCACGGAGCAACCATGCCATCTTTTTTTTGGAACTCGTTGAATCTCCAGGTTTTACATGTAAAAAATACACGCAGCATGTGGTGCAGCAATCTTACTTGAGGACACTCCTATCTCAGTATAAAGAAATCCACAAACTTTCTAGCTCACACAATCAAGCACTGGACAACCACCGGCCTGGGCCTCCTAGGCTTGGCATCGTCCTTCCAGCGAGGTTCAAAGCAAAGACGTCATCGCTCAGTTCTTTTACACTTGTGGTGTGAGTGATCTTGTACGCTCTGTGGTGCCTGTGGGCTGTGTCGCTCCATGCCGATGCAAAGCATGCTCAACCGACTTTTGGATCCTGCGATGCAATCGCTCTGTTCAATCCTGTTCGGATCATATCGGGGTTCGACGTCTCTTTTTCAGGCAAAGCATGAAAGAAGACATCGAATCATGGCTACTGAAATCGCCACTTCCTGCTGCTTCCCACCTGCTAAGTGAGCCCGGAGCCCCCGTTCGAAGGGGATTTTAGCTGCAAGGCTGCAAGTCAAGCCCCAAACGGTTGGTCGTGCTCAATAAGCAGGGCTGGTAAAGCAGCACGGCTCCAGGCTAGCGCACCCTGCCTCGACTGCGTAAACCTCAAGTCTTTATCCAATGGATGCAGGATCCACGCGATAAAGCCCCTTTAAGGCCTTCAAGAAAACGGATTAAAGTCATATGTTTTGACAGGTATGCAAAAGACTTGAGGAAGATCGGACTCCTTCTGAATTTGAACCTCTGCTGTTCAGAGCGTATTCACATCTGTGTAAGTTGCGAGCTCAAGTACGAGGTCAACGGAATATGAGTTAATATGGCTCTGCCAGTGTTTGCCTTCTCTTGAAGGGAAGATGTTGTTTCGACAGTTCACTGCTACTTGACCTCCACTTCTCGTCCAGCATGGGACTCTGGGGAGCAGAACCTTTTGTGCATGGACCAGGAACCGGCTTCGGTCAAGAAAAATCTGCCTGCAAACAGTTGCAAGAGCGAGACAGGTTTGAGAGTTTGGACGTGCAAAAACGAAGAGCTTCAAGCCTATTCAAGCCCTTATCTGTTTATTTATATACCTCCTTTATATATCTGTTCCTGTTTATATTGTTTATTCCGATTGCCAAGGATTCCTGGTCGGAGAATGAGCGTCCTCACAGAGACTTAGCCGTGTCACCATTCGGCGGGCCGCGACTCAGTAGTAAGGCGCCCATTGTAGCCTAGTGTACAGCTTGCACAAAGAGATCTGCAGAAGAGACCTGTCTGGAGCAAAGCGCCTTGTTTTTTCTGTTTATCTCAATACCCAAGTTCTTTTTTGAGAGCTTGCAGAGACCCTCTCATCCATCGATTCAGCAAAAGTGGTGATGCGAGTAGCGTCCTTGCTCCTAGTAGCGATGCCCTTTGTTCCTGGTAGCGTCTTCTGTTCTGCAAATTCAGGTCGGCTTCTTGTCTCTCTGTGC